TATGCCATAGGTTTTGATATGTTATATTTTCATTTGTTTCAAGAAATTTTTTTAATTTCTTTCTTAATCTCTTCATTGACCCACTGATCCATCATTCAGGAGCATATTGTTTAATTTCCATGTGTTTGTATATTTTCCAATGTCCCTCTTGTTATTGATGTCTGGTTTTATTTCATTATGGTGAGAGAAAATACTTGGTATGATTTCAACATTTTTGAAATTTTTAAGACTTGTTTTGTGACATATGGTCTATTCTTGAGAATAATCCATGAGCTGAGAGGAATGTGTATTCTGCAAGTGTATGATAAAACACTCTGTAAATATCTATTAGGTCCATTTGGTCTATAGTGCAGATTAAGTCCAATGTTTCTTTGTTGATTTTCTGTCTGGATGATCTGTCCGATGTTGAAAGTGGAGTGTTGAGGTCTCCAACAATTATTGTTATTGGGGTCTATCTCTCTCTTTAGCTCTAATAATATTTGCTTTATATATCTGGGTGATCTAGTGTTTTGGTGCATATATATTTAGAATTGTTATATCCTCTTACTGAATTGACCCCTTTATCACTATATATAATGGTATTCTTTGTCTCCTTTTAGTTTTTGTCTTGAAATCTATTTTATCTGATAGAAGTATAGCTACTCCTGTTCTTTTTTGATTTCCATTTGCATGGAATATCTTTTTCCATCCCTTAATTTTCAGTCTATGTATCTCTTTCTAGGGACAGTGTGTTTCTTGCAGACAACATATAGGTTAGCTATTGTTTTTTAAATCCATTCAGCCACTCTATGTCTTTTGATTAGAGAATTTAATCCAATCACATTCAATGTTGTTATTGTTAGGTAAGGACTTACTCCTGCAATGTTGTTATTCAATTTCTGGTTGTTTTGTTGTCCTCTCTTTCTTTTTTACTTCCTTCCTGCCTTCCTTTATTAAAAATGACTTTCTCTGGTAGAGTGTTTTATTTCTTGCTTTTTCCTTTTTGTGTATCTATTGTAGGTTTTTGATTTAAAGTTACCATGAGGTTTGCAAAAAACATAACCAATTATTTTATTTTATTTTATTTTATTTTATTTTTTCTTTCTTCTTTTTTCCTCCAAGACAATGTCCAGGTACCAATTATTTTAAACATATGACAACTCTGCTTACAAACAAACAGGCAAACAGAAATCTCACAGAAATTCTATTTTTTAACTCTATCCCCTCCCCTACTTTTTAATTTTTGTTGTTTCCATCCCTATCTTTTTATACTATCTATCTCTCAAAAAATTGTTACAGTTGTTTTTGATATGTTTGTCATTTAGTCTTCCTACTCAAGATATAAGCAGTTTTTACATGGCAGTTATAGCAATAGAGTATTTTATATTTGTATACTTACTATTACCAATGAGTTGTATATCTTCAGATGATTTCTTTTTTTTTTTTTTTTCTTGAGACAGAGTCTCACTTTGTTGCCCAGGCTAGAGTGAGTGCCGTGGCATCAGCCTAGCTCACAGCAACTTCAAACTCCTGGGCTCAAGCAATCCTACTGCCTCAGCCTCCCGAGTAGCTGGGACTACAGGCATGCGCCACCATGCCCAGCTAACTTTTTCTATATATATGAGTTGGCCAATTAATTTCTTTCTATTTATAGTAGAGACAGGGTCTCGCTCTTGCTCAGGCTGGTTTCGAACTCCTGATCTCGAACAATTCGCCCGCCTCGGACTCCCAGAGTGCTAGGATTACAGGCGTGAGTCACCGCGCCTGGCCCGAATTCCTTTTCTGTGTTGTTTTTAAGTTAATTAAGCTTCTTCAGAACAGCTGTTTTGAATTCTTTGTCTGAAAGGTCATATATCTCCATCAGTCCAGGATTGGTCACTGGTATCTTATTTAGGTCGATTGTTAAGGTCGTGTTTTCTTGGATGTTCTTGATACTTGTGGATGTTCTTCAATGTCTGGGCATTGAAGAGTTAGGTATTTATTTATTTATTTATTTATTTATTTTTAATTTTAGGCCTATTCCTGACTTGAGAAGGTATTTATTTTAATCTTCACAGTCTGGGCTTGTTTGAACCCATCCTTTTTGTGAAAGCTTTTTGGATGTTCAAAGGGAATTGAGTATTATGATTTAAATGTTTGGTTACTGCAGCCGTATCAGCACTGAGGGTCCCCCAAGCACTGTAATACTGTGATTCTTGCAGACTCCTGGTGGTACTGCCTTGGTGGACTGATTTTTGGTTCTTCTGAAGGTGTTGCTTTCATGTATACTTGTTGAATTTGGTGTTTGTGCAGAGGTACGATCACTGGAAGTTTCTATTCAACCATCTTGCTCCGCCCCCTCCTCATTTTTTTTTTTAAACCTACTCAAATCAGGCTTTTCCCTCCATTACTCCACCAACACTGGCCTTGTCAAAGTCACCAGTGAATTCCCTATTTCTAAGGCAAATAATCTGTTCTCAGCCCTCATCTTATTTGACCTATTAGCAGCATATGATACAATTGATCACCTCACGTCCTTAAAACACCTTCACTCAGCTGTCACTCCACTTTTAGGATGTCAATCAACTCTCATGGTTTTCATCTTACCTCGCTGGTCTTTCCTATTCACCTCTTATCCCAGTCCTCGTAACACTATGGCTTGGGACTCAATCCTCAGTCGTCTTCTCTGTCAATACTCACTTCTTTGGTGATCTCATCCAGTCTCATGATTTTAAATATCATCTCTACTGACAAACTCCTAAATTTACATCTCCAGCTTAACCTCTCTTTAGAACTCCACTTACATATCCAATCCAGATTCATATCCAAATGCTGACTCTACACCTCTGCTTGGATGTTCAAAGACATGTTAAACACTCAGAAACCTTTTACCCTGTCCACACCTAGCCTAATCCTGCTCCACTTGAAGTCTTCTCCATTCAGTCAATGGCTGTTTCATCCTTCTAGTTCCAGGCCAAAAACCATATACACGCCTTTGATTTTTCTCCTTCCCTCACATGCTACACCCAAATCATCAGGAAACCTTCTGGTTCTACATATACTAAACCCAAAAACTATTCTCACTTATCCCACTATTACTATCTTGGTCCCAGACACCACCATCTCTTACTAGATTATGGTAATAGCCCTCTGAATAGTCTCCATGTTTTCTACACTTGCTCCATATACTCTCTACTTGACCCACAGCCAAAGTGATTCTTTTAAAATATTAAGTCAGATAAAGTTACTTCCTCAAAAGCCTCCTAAGGTTCCCCATTCCCTTCAGAATAAAAACCAAAGTTCCTAATATGGCCTACAAGGTACTACATAATTTGGACCCCTGCTACCTCTTTGACTTCATGTTCTAATACTCCCCACTTTGATCACTCCACTGTAGCCACACTGGCCAGTTTGTTGTTCCCTAAACATACCAGGCATACTCCAATCTTAGGGCCGTGGCACTGACTGTTCACACTGTCTAGACTGTTATTCTCCCAGATATCCATACAGCTAACTTCCCCACCTCCTCTGAGCCACTCTAATATCTTCAGTGAGGCCCACCTTAACATCCATATTTAAAATAGCAATCTGCACCTGCATTCCCTCCTCTAGTACTCCCAATTTACCTTGCCTTGTGTTATTTCTTCTTCATGGCATTTATTATTACATACTATTCTAATACACTACTTAATGTCTTGTTTTTATTTTTTTTATTAGTGTTTATCCTTGAGAATGATAGCTAAGAAGGCAGGGATTTTTGTCTGTTTTGTTCACGAATATAGCCCAAGCGCACAGAACAGTGCCTGACACATAGTAGGCACTCAATAAATATTTATTAAATGGAATATCTGATTAATAAAAGATTAGCTGGGATCAGGTCAAGAGCAACTTTTAATGCTAACTTTAAAATCTTTTGATCAAAATTGTATTAAAGCCATGAGCTATTACAAATAATCTGGGTAGAGCTGTACAGAATGAACCCCTGGAAGTTCAGGGTCTGAAAATTAATCTGGTCAGATTACAGAACTTAAATAGGCTGCCTTTCTATGAAGTAGAAATTCTGGGGAAAATAAACATATTCGGAAGTAATACCTCACCATAGTTTCATCCACTGGCACTAGGGATTTGTGTAGTTTCATCCTAGCTTCATAACAGTGGTGAGATCTAACTCAGGTTTGGGCTTCAGCAGATGACAGTAAGCAGTCATCTCAGTCTGCAATGAAATGAGACTATTTTGTTCAGAGCCAAGAAGCCTTCCAGATAGGCCAACCCAGTTTCCTGGAAAGCTCTGCATTAAGGTTTTAGTCCAAAGCTTCACCAAATACAAGCCATACTGCCTTCCAGTTGTCATTGGTCACTCTGTATGTCTATCTTCTATAGGAACCCAGGGAATACAGGGTGAGAGGTAGAGTAGTGGTTAGTCAGGAGTGACCTAGCAGAGGATTCAAGTATTCCAAAGTATTCTGGGCAAACACTATTTTAGTATTAGGATACTGGATATTATACCTCCAACTGTCACCCAGTTCTTTCTATAAAGACCAGGAAAAAAATTTAATGCTCCTAAAACAAAGTAGCCTGGTTAGGGTTTGCCAATAGAGTCTAAACAAAGGTTGTGGCAAAAAAGAAACAGAAAGGAGGCAACATATAAAAGACACCATGGAAGTAAATAGCGAAACAAGGCTACTGAATAGATGTGAAAATGAATAAAATGAAACAAATAAAATGACAAACAGGCTGTAATCTGAGATAAGCCTCTTTGGAGGATATAATTTTTATTAGCATATAGAAAATGTAGATGAAGAAATAGGAAGAAATAAAAAGTATGTCAATAATAATTCTACCTTTTTTTTTTTAAAGTACTGTATATGGGAAAGAAGTAAAGTCATAGATATTATTCTAGAAAAATATGACTGAGATAGTTTTATGCAAAGATACAACATTTGTGTGGGCTCTGCATTCAAATGAATATTTACATGTAAATAATAAACTTTTTATATGTTATAAACACATAATAAATGGATACTTCAAACATTTCTACTTACAATGATACCAAGAGAATGGACTTTTCATGCACTTGGAAAGAAAATAAGAAGAATGATAGTGCACAGCTAACCTTTAAGAAAAAAGAAGGAAAATGAGATATTATAACTTATAAAATACAATATCAAGTCAATTTTGAACCTAAATAACAATCATTTCAAAAAAAGTTAAAAGTTTATTATAGCTTCTATCTAGAAGTAAAATGTAAACATAACACTAATATGTATAACATTTTAACCAAATTTAAAAATAAAAATATTTTTTCAGAAAACAATGACTATAAAGCTTTACTTAACCATCTAAAAAAAAGTTCACTGAGACTCACTTACTAATAAACAAAACTACTTAATACCTCAGACACAACAATCATACCTTCATCCTCCCTTGAAATCTCTGACAATTTAAATTTGAAAGTGTGAAGGACAAGGTCAAAATCAACTGCCAAATCTATTTCAGTATTTTTAAAATGTACACTTCAATAAAACATACTAAATGTTTTTTATAAATTCATAATGTGCTATTTGGGGTTTAAAATGAAAAATTACTTAAATCTATTTTCAGAAGTTTCTGTTCTGTATTATTAGACAGCTGTCTATACCTCCATCTAGTTATTCAAGCAAAACACCTGAATTATTGTCTTGTATAAGCTATACATCTCCATCAGCAACTCCCATCTACAGCACCTCCTAAATACAATATCCTTCCTCTTCTCTTCATTCACCTCTGCCATTTGATTAAAAGGAAAATACTTTTAAAATAATTATGATAGGAAATGTTCTTAAAGCTCTCAGAAATATATAAGAATTCAAAGCATTATCAACAAGAATGATATAACAAAAATCATAAGTTTCTAAAAAATTTTTAACACAATGGCTTATTTTAAAACATAGCAAACAGAATAAAATTAGGAAATTAAGAAAATGTTTTTTCTGGTTTATAATCCAAAAAGTAATCATCTCTCTGCCTAAGTTGCCCAAACTCTGAAATTCTATTCCATTATCTTTGAAATATACCTTTATTTAGCATGCTATTTCCTAGAAAAATAATCTGTCATAAGCTTGAAAATATTTCAAGTTAAGCCTATTGAAGATATCAAAGCATCACTAAGTATGTCAATCCTGTTCTAAATGTCCTATAGAATATTACCAACAGATGACTTGGTATTTTCAGAGTTTATTCACAGAACAAAACAACAGAAATTGTCAATAAAAAGGTAATAAAAAATAAGAGGAACATGAAACTATCCTTTTTGTATTCTGGTACTGAGATGCACTTTTGAAATGTTTCACTGTTCTGTTTAGCTTGTTTTTAGAATGTAACATATGTAAGTGGCAGTTCCAGAATTGGAACCTTAATTTCTAAACTGTTGTCATCTTATAAATCTACTAGGACTTACTGTTTTCATAAACAAAATGTTCTTGATACTATAAAAAGTATTTGTTAAATGTCATTTTATAGACCATGGTATAGAGGAAAAAATTTTAAATACCACCGAAATACAACCAGGAAGAATTTGTAAACCCTCTCAGAAAAACCCTACTATGGAAAATATACCCAACCCATCTCAAACTGACACAAGTCATCTTACTAAAACAGAGATCTGCCTCGTCTCCTTCCCAAAAATCTTCTTTTGGCTCCTCTTGCACACAAATCTAACTCCAAATCTTTCAACCAGACATTCAAGATCTTCTATAGTTTGATCCTTTTTGACCCTCCTTTCTCACCATCTCCTCTCCTACACACAACACACACATAAAAGTCACACAAATTTTACTGTTTAATAGCTGTTCCCAGAACATTGCCTGTCCTTTCCCACCTCTATACCTTCAACTTCCTCTTGTCTTGAATTTATCTTCTGCTATATAACCTCCTGTTCCAAATCTTGCCCAGCGTTCAAAACTTGGCTCAAATCCTACTTGCTCTAAACAGCTGTCTAAAATCTTCCCCCAAGATAATATCTCCCTTTCCCACACCAACTTAGGACTTCATTTGTACCTGACAGAACTTAATACCATCTGCTTTATAGCATAATTATTTAAGTATATGTTTATCACCACTGTTTTCTTCTTTGTATTACCCCATTAACTAATATAAAACAAATTAAATAACTGTTGAATTAAACTGAAAGATTCTCATTGCTTAGCCTGATGTCCAACATAGCACCTAAGAATGGGAAGCACCCAATAAATGTTTGCCAAATAAATGAATGTCCTCTTTCCCAATCCACTAAATCCTGTACAGAACAAGAAAATAATTTTTAAAAGATTGTTGTAGGAAGAATTAAAAGTAATGAAAAACTTACCAGAGTAAATTTAAATCCTTTGGGAGAGGGCTGAAGTGTTAATTTTAAGCATGAAGGAAGCAGACTCAAAAATGTAAAACAAAAGCTAAAAAATAATAATAAAAATAAAATTGTTTTTTATAGAGATATAAATATAACTAAAACAAATATTTTTTAAAATATAAGGATCACATTATGTATTTAATTTAATTTTAAATTAAAGTTTACTTTTATTTATTAAATTTAAATTAAGACAAAATAACATTTACATAAAATCATACATTAAAATACATATATACTTTCATAAATGATTACATGATATAATACAGAACAAAATATCATAATACTAAATATTGCTTCTGTTAGTTTAGTATTTAATATGATGTACAGAAAAGATACAATGATATATATATATATAGTTGAAGGTCAATCACCAAACACTCAAAATAAGAAAACATAATGAGGTATGAGATAATGCTGTATCTGTAACATAAACATTCCTAAACTTTACTCACAAAAGAGTCTAGCCCTCATTTCACAAAAGGTGATTATCTGACTTTCAAACCCATGGTAAATCAGAACAAGTTTAAAAGGCAGCCGGAAACTACTAGAGCTTCTCCTAAAAATGGCTGATAGGTAGGAAGGGAAAAAAACCTAGATTAATGCACACAGGCTCAAGAGTGGTCTGGTGCCATTTAGTACCATGGCAAATAGCAAGCCCTGAAAACAAGTATATAACCTAATACAAGAACTGATTTTTCCCAGTTGTGGTAACTTTATGACTTATCAGCTTAGCTAGGCTGGACTAAAGTCCCAAGAATTCCCTTCCTGTATGCTTCTTGTTAGGGTGGGCCACAAGGGAAATTCTCCCAAGAATTGAAGGCCAGACGGAGGCAGCACCTTCCCTCAGTTATTCAAACACTATCTTTAGATGCTGCCGTGAAGAGATTTTGGAGAGGTAAAGTCCCTATTCAGCTGATTTTAAGTTAATCAAAAGGTAAATTATCCTGAAGGGCCTAACCTTTTAAAAGAGGGCTTAGATCTTCCCTAAAGGCATATGGTTATGAATTACTCTTCCTTCCCCCTAGATATTCCTTCCAGAGGGTCTGCCTTGTGGAGTTCCAGTTTGCCTGTCAGCCCCCACATCTGCATAAGCCAATTCCTTATTATAAATTCAAACACAGACACAAACACAAACACACACACACTACACAGTGACCTACTCCTTCTAATTCTGATTGACCCTGATGGATACATCACTGAAAATCATGACTCTTCAAGATAATGTTAAATCATGTGTAGTGTACTCTCTGTTTAAGCAGAGAATTAGGTAACAATTCAGAAAGACTTTCACATAAAACAATTCAAAGAAAAGAGTTTTATTGTGTAGACAGATAGATTTAAGTTATGTGGAAAATTTACTAATGGAAAAGACCTCATTCCCTACTGATGCCAGAAAAATCAAATATTAATTACAATAATGCTTTTAGAGAGTAGCTATACAATACTATATACAAACTTTGTGTCTCTTACCTGATTATTATCTGGATGTGATGTGGCAAAATATCCTTAATCTTCAGAAAGACACTGAAGCTACACCAAATATTGGCTACTTTATCCTTAAAAGAGATTTGTTGATTTTACATTCTGATATAATTGAAAGAAATATTACACCCCACAAAGTACAGCCCATAATCTCTAATAAACTTTTGAGATATATAAAACTTTTATTCACAATTATAACAAAGTAGATTAATAACATTATTAATCTACTATCTAATATTAATAAATTATTAATCATTATTAATAACAAGAAATAAACATATACACAAGCACACTCCCAAGCATTTTTCATTTGTTTTACATGAGAGCTGATCTAAATCATTGACCAATCATAGATATTCCCAAGAAATACTAAATATTTTTCAAAAAGCGGTACACTATCCCTAAATACTTAAGTTGCTTATCTTTGGAAGTTTTTCTTAAAAATCTTTTTTCCCCTAATTTATAGAATACATATTACATTTGACCCATTTTTATCACACACCTGAATTTATTTAAAGTAACCTAAAAGCCACTAGCAATGACAAGAAGTAATTACTAATAAGTCAAGAATTTTAAAGACATTAGCGGTTATGCTAGGATTACTTTCAAAATTAAATTGTAACTATACCTCTCATGCTGGTAAAACTCATCCTCCAAACAACTGCTTGACTCTCAGCTGTCTAGGCATCACAACAATAAAGTAACTGTCACTGACAAATATACCATCCCACATTCCTCAGTTACATCAAAGAAAATGTTCTTCAGATTTTGAGGGCAACAAGTGAATGGAAGAGACTGGAAACATCAAGCATGTCTTATACTAATTTTTATAATTATCATGATAAATACCATTTCTGAAATGGAAGGTAAGGCAAATAACTAGGCTGCTTATATGGAGAATTAAATTTTTCTTTATATAGGTGTTAGTTAGAGGTTATATAAAGAAGAGATTGGGAGTACAATTTTCAAAGTTCAAATGACAGCTCTGTCAAATACTAGTTTCATGAATCTCTGACCTCAGTTTACTTATATGTAAAGTGGGGATAGCAGCCTCAGAGTAACCTATAGTGACCTCAGAGTTACTGTAACAGAGATAGCAGCTACCTTAGAGCTACTGTAAGGATCAAAGAAAATTACATGGAAATATCTCACATCTAATAAGTAAATAGTGGTAACAATTAATAATAATAGTGATCATATATTATTATCAGTATCACCACTACCATTATCCCCAGTGACCCAGAGTCACATGTTCCCATTACTTTACACCAAACTCCTTTCTTAGTCTCCTTCAAAATGCTTGTTTCATCCTCCTATAAATCCACTGTAAGATATTCTATAGAAATGTATATATTCAAAATTGGAAAGATACATATGCTTCCCTAATTCTTTTTAAAAGAAATGTTATTCAAAAGCAAATTATCTATAAATATGTTGTCTCTGTGTAACTTTATTAAAAGGCCTTTTTGTTTTAGAAAAATGGTTTGTTTGATTTAATTACTAAATCTAAATGATCAAATTATTCATGTAATAAAAGTTTAACAAGAGTGATTAAACTAGCATTAATTGAAAATTAAAAATTACTATAGATGAAGGTTATGTATCTCATAAGGAATTATGAGATCTTTCTGAAGCAAACATGATTATTAGTTTAACAAATAATTTTCTAAGACTAAAAAGAGTATATAAACCAAAAAAATCACACAACTGTTAAAATTGTAACTGCAACTTCTATACTATCTTTCATTATGGACCCTATTTCATTAGAAAAATATATAATTGAATTATGGATTTGACAATGGCATAAATATTACCTATTGATTAAAATGCCAGCTGAGCTAGGGGTTATATGCTAAATTAAATAACTAGCAAGGTACCCGTGCCTGTAGTCCTCACTCTTCAGGAGGCTGAGGCAGGAGGATTACTTGAGCTCAGGAGTTCAAGGCTGTGGTGCAGGTACAGCCTTTGCAATATAGTGAGACACTGTCTCTAAAAACAATAAATAACTGGCAAGGTATGATTATAGGAGGAGAGTAGCTGAAGTTTCTATTCCTGTGTGTCTTTTTTAAAGAGACAGGGTCTTGTTCTGTTGCCCAGGCTGGAGTGCAATGGTATCATCATAACTCCGCTGCGACCTCAAACTCTGGGCGCAAGCAATTCTCTCACCTCAGCCTCCCAATTAGTTGAGACTATAGGTACATACCACTGCAGCTGGCTTATTTTTTTTATTTTTAGAGATAGGGTCTTATTATTTTGCCTATGCTGGTCTCAAACTCCTGGCCTCAAACAATTCTCTCGCCTCAGCCTCCCAAAGTACTAGGATTACAGCCATGAGCTACCATACCTGGGCCCTTGTGTGTCTTCTACATGAAATCCCTAAAGGTCACAGGGAAGATACAGTAACAGAAAGGAGAGGAAAGTTTTTAAACATGCCTCAAATAATCCACGATCAACTGGGAAGAGTCTTCTTAAAACCTGCAAGGTTTGTTCCCTTTCAGTAAAGAATGGCAGCCAGCAGAGAATGAAGGAAGCCACAACAGTACAAACTAGCTTAATTAGCAACACAAACCTAGAAAACAAAGGTAAGCAGTAAGATAGGGAAAGGTTAATAATTCTGAAAAACCAAGTTGAGTCTCACTGAATATAATGAATGCAAATGTATAGTAATGCTAAATCTATGTTACCAATATAGGTTTAAGATGGGAGTCTGCTCAAATCAGAGTTAAAAAAATTCACAACTGTTAAGATGTGCACTTCAACAAAAAGACTGCTATCACCATCCTAATTAACATTTCACTTAGATGCCATTCCTATGGGAATACGGGAATGTAGTCAAGAAAAAAAATACCAAATGGGAAGAATGTATTTATAATAAGTATATAATGGAACAAGCTGTAAAGTGATGAAACCCTACAGCAGTACTCTAACAAGCCAATCCCCATTACCTCCAGTAAATATATATTGATCAAAATAATTCTCTAGTTAGGAAAATTTAAAATAAAAGAATACCAGGCTATGACTTAATCTCTTTCCTCCTACTCACACCATGGCCAACACATTTATAAGAAATCAACAAAAGGCAAAGTGGAAGATCACCTTCCTACAATTAAGCATGCCAAAAAAACTATTTAAAGCAAATTTTTGAATTCTGGTGTTTAAAAGTCACTCACCCTTTTCCTTTGAGATCTTTTTTAAAACACTTGCCAAGTAAAAAGCAAAAAAATGGCAAGGAGTGGTATAGTTCCATCTGTTTATAATTTATAGCTAAGCAAAATGCCAGTGACCCTAACAGGTCCCAGTCACAAGATACTCCAAGAACACCCCACAAAGCAAAGCCAAGACTCACAGAATTATATATGTTCCTGTGTCAAGGAAATTATCTCAATAATTAAAAGAGGTAGATCTTGTATTTTATAGAGAATATTTCTTATGCAATTTTAAGATAATATAAACAATGAAAGCTACGTCCAAATGAAAATTGAAAGTATCAAAGTGATAAACAAACATGAAAGTATATATAATAGCCTCACATTTATTAAATCCACTACTAAACAGCAACCGATTTGTTTAGGTTTAAAAGAGTTCTAAATAGTTAAAACATAGCTTTGTTTCTGTTACATTACTTCACAATATTACTATAACATACCAAAATCTAGAGAATAAAACAATGCTACAGTAGTAATTTAAAAAAAAAACTTACTGAGATCACTAACTTCCTCTATAACATGCATCAATAATATAAATTAATATACGTCATTGGTTAGAAACTAATAACTGTTAATTAAAACATCATAATGAGATTTTCAGTTCAAAATGGTGAGCTAAGCACTCATGTTTACCTCCTCTCCTTACCAAGACCCTTAAAATGATAAGAAATGGAATTTTTTAAAAGTATAAATTCATAGCCATAAAGAGAATAGAAGTATGGGTTATCATAAAAATTTCAACATATTTCTGGAAGACAGAAGTGATAGTGATAACAAAATGAAAAAGAAGCCACAGCAAAGGAAATGCATAGAATAAACTCAGGGAAGCAAGGCGACAATCCACCCTCCAAGACCCAAGAGAACTTTAGCAACACCAAGTAGATTGGAGTGTTTGAGTAATATGTAAAAAAGAAAACAAAGAGATTAACTTAAAATCCCTAAATGGAGAAGTCAAATGTCACCCCATGCCTTTGCAAAGATTATTAGGTAGCCAAGCATTTACGCCCAGGCAACAAATGAAGGAATATTCCCAAGAAATAAAATAAACTATCCACGGCAGCTAGTATAGAAGTTAGCACTATAAATGCAGTCCCCTCCATATAAATGACAGATACACACACATACTAATTTTATTATAATTAAAATAGATTGGCATCAAAAGGAAAAGCAGTTAAATTAACTAAACAACCATGTTGCTGTGTATTAATATTATGTCTTTTTGTTCCCCTAGAGATGGGGGCAGGTAGTATATTTGATACATTAGAAGAAAAATTGGATAGATATGTACAAATTTTTATCAATTTATCTTCTAAGATTTGTTTGTTTAAATGTTCCTTACTTTAAGTATCAAAAATGTAAACATAAGGCCGGGCGTGGTGGCTCACGCCTGTAATCCTAGCACTCTGGGAGGCCGAGGCAGGCGGATCGCTCGAGGTCAGGAGTTCAAAACCAGCCTGAGCAAGAGCGAGACCCTATCTCTAGTATAAATAGAAAGAAATTAATTGGCCAACTAATATATATATAGAGAGAGGAAAAAAATTAGCCGGGCATGGTGGCGCATGCCTATAGTCCCAGTTACTTGGGAGGCTGAGGCAGGAGGATTGCTTGAGCCCAGGAGTTTGAGGTTGCTGTGAGCTAGGCTGACGCCATGGTACTCACTCTAGCCTGGGCAACAAAGTGAGACTCTGTCTCCAAAAAAAAAAAAATGTAAACATAAAATCCATATAGATTTTAATAATTCAGTTTTAGTGTCCTGAAGCTTCAAGCTACAATTATCTGTTAGAGAAATACTTTGTTTTAAAACAAAAAACTGTAAGACTGTTTTCCTTTTTTCAGCATCAGTTAACATTTACAAAAGACAGAAGACAGGTTATACATTTTAGAATTAGAGGAGCTTAACCATACTTGGCACTCTTTTCCCAACTCCCCAGAAATAGCTAATCAGTTACCAACATTCTGCTTCCAGGCTATACAAATTTGAAAATGCAATTCTACTTTTAATAAATCTGTACTTTACCCTTCAAGTAAAAGACTGATGAAGAGATTATTTTATACTACTCTGAAACAGTTTATATAAGCAAGCACTCTAGCAAATATTTAATAAGACATTACTGAATAACAACATCATATAAATTTAGTCTACATTTCATAATATGCAACTGACTTCATTTCTAAATAGTAAAGGATACTGAAAATGTCCATGGTCGATAAGAATAAGGCCTGGATACAGCAATATGCACAATGCACTAGCAATCTATAAAGAAAAAAATATTGTGAAATAAGTAATCTATTACTCAAATCAACAGGGTAAAACTGTGATTTTCATTTAATACAGTAGCAAATGGCCGGGCGTGGTGCTCACGCCTGTAATCCTAGCACTCTGGGAGGCAGAGGCAGGTGGATTGCTCGAGGTCAGGAGTTCGAAACCAGCTTGAGTGAGACCCCCGTCTCTACTAAAAATATAAAGAAATTAATTGACCAACTAAAAATATATATACAAAAAAATTAGCCGGGCATGGTGCTGCATGCCTGTAGTCCCAGCTACTCGGGAGGCTAAAGCAGGAGGATCACTTGAGCCTAGGAACTTGAGGTTGCTGTGAGGTAGGCTGACACCACAGCACTCACTCTAGCCTGGGCAACAAAGTGAGACTCTGTCTCAAAAAAAAAAAAAAAAGTAGCAAATGTTCCCAATTTCCTGAGATGCTATCCCTTCTTTTTATCAAAATATTCCATTTTTTGGCTGGGTGCGGTGGCTCACGCCTGTAATCCTAGCACTCTGGGAGGCCAAGAAGGGCAGATCACTCAAGGTCAGGAGTTCAAAACCAGCCTGAGCAAGAGCAAGACCCTATCTCTACTAAAAATAGAAAGAAATTAATTGGCCAACTAAAAATATATAGAAAAAATTAGCCAGGCATGGTGGCGCATGCCTGTAGTCCCAGCTACTCGGGAGGCTGAGGCAGAAGGATTGCTTGAGCCCAGGAGTTTGAGGTTGCTGTGAGCTAGGCTGACACCACGGCACTCTAGCCCAGGCAACAGAGTGAGACTCTGTCTCAAAAAAATAAAAATTTCCTTTTTTATAAAACAACTCTTTAGACACTAAAGTTTCATGGAGGTGACATAGGATACTTCAGTAAAATGACTAAACGGCATTTATCAGAGGAAGTACTTTTGGATATACAAATCAGAGAAGTCAATCTAATGATTAACTTATTTAAAATAACCAAGAAGGATATTTGATAACCATGAATATGAAAATATATAACAACTTTTTTTTTCCTTTTTTTTGTTTTGTTTTTCGCTTTGTTGCCCAGGCTAGAGTGAGTGCCATGGCATCAACCTAGCTCACAGCAACTTCAAACTCCTGGGCTCAAGCAATCCTGCTGCCTCAGCCTTCCGAGTAGCTGGGACTACAGGCATACACCACCATGCCCAGCTAATTTTTTGTATACATATTAGTTGGCCAATTCATTTCTTTCTATTTATAGTAGAGACGGGGTCTTGCTCTTGCTCAGGCTGGTTTCGAACTTTTAACATCGAGCAATCCACCCGCTCGGCCTCCCAGAGTGCTAGGATTACAGGCGTGAGCCACCGTGCCAGACCTTATAACAACTTTTTAAAATGCCTTTCAATTTAGTCAATCTCACAAGCCAGCTCGAAATTCAGATTTACCAGTTAAGCAATAAATTCAGCATGGTGTGTAATTCAGCAGTACATAACTTATAAAATTCAGTATGTCTTATTAGTACTATAGCAGGGCATTAAAATAATTACTGTGAGATAAGCTGGTGTTTTCTAAATGAAAATTAATTGACAGAAGATACAATGTTCCTTATTCTGTTTCCAAAAGCATGACTCTCTAAAGTCTATACTTAAGTCTATACTTAAGAGTTAGGCTAATAAAGAAAATAGTTGCGGGCTGGGCGCAGTGGCTCATGCCTATAATCCTAGCACTCTGGGAGGCCAAGGCTGGCATGGTCGATAAGAATAGAGGCCCGTGGCCTACCCCAGCAATATGCCGCACACTGCACTAGCAATCTATACAGAAAACATTGTGGGAAATAAGTAAGATCCTCATTACCCTCAAATCAACCGAGGTCACAAGTGTGCGCACTTTTCATTTCAATACAGTAGCAAGCATGGCCCGGCCGCGCTCGTGCTGCGCACCCCTGGTAATCCTACACTCCTGCGGACGGCAGGGCAGGTGGATTCTGCTCAAGGTCAGCCGAGCTTCTCGACACCAGCCTTGAGTGAGAACCCCGTCTCCACTACTTCCAAAATAGACAAGAAATTAATTGACCAATAAAATGATATATACACCAAGAAACATTAGCCGGGCATGGTCGCTGCATGCCTGGTAGTATCCCAGCTACCGGGAGGCTGAAGCATGGCGCGGGAGCGGAGATCCCTTGAGCCTAGGAACTTGAGGTTTGTGTGGCGTAGGCTGACACCACAGCACTCACTCTAGCCTGCGGCAGCAACGTGAGACTCTGTCTCAACAAAAAAAAAAAAAAAAAAAAGTAGCAAGTTCAATTTCCTGATGATGCTAATACTTCTTTTTATCAAAAATATTCCATTTTTTGGCGTGGGTGCGGTGGCTCACCGTCTGTACTCCCTCAGCACTCCTGGAGGCCAACAGCAAGGGCAGATCACTCCAAGGTCAGCCCGGGAGTTCAAAAGCCGCGCTGAGCAAGAGCAAGAGCCCCTAACTCCTCACTAACAATAGAACAGCAATCTGAATTGGCACCTACACATATAGAAAGAAATTAGCCAGCGCATGGTGGCGCCTGCCTGTAGTCCCCAGCTACCTCGGGAGCTGAGGCAGCAGGATTGCTTGAGCCGCGCTCTCTCGCGCGCTCCTGCTCCCGTGAGCTCGCGCTCGACCCCCCCGCTTCTCGCCCCCGCCCGCCCGCTCTTCCTGCTTTCCTTTCTTATCCTTCTTCGCTGTCTTCTCGCGAGCTCGCCCTCGGAACTACTATCAGTAATAGACTATACGGCATTTATCCACGAGGCAGTCCTTTCTGGTATACCACATAGCGAGCTCTCTAATGCTTCAACTTATTTCCCAAATCACCAAGGCGCCTCTTCGATAACCTCGCTCCTGAAAAATACTCCTCCCTCCCTTTTTCTTCTCCTTTTTCTTCTTTTCTTCTTCTTCCGCTTCTCTGTTTTCGCTTCTTGCCCCCGCTGTCGCCGCTGCTTTCCTCCCCGCCGCTCTTTTCCTCCGCGCCCGCTCCTCGCTGCCCTCCTCGCGTTCGCTGGCGCCCGGCCTCTCGCCCGCTCCCTTTTCCTGTATCACTCATAGTCGTGGCAATTACCATTTCTTTCGCTAATTTAATAGTCGAGACGCGGGTCTTGCTCCTTGCTCAGGCTGGTTTCAACCTTTTCAACATCGAGCAATCCGCCGCTCGCCCCTCCCAGACGTGGCTAGGCATCTCTGCGTCGAGCCCGTCGCGCTTCTCCTCTTCTTCCCTCCGCTTTCATCTCTTCGTCTCACCCCGCTCGCTCTCCGCTCTCTCCCGCTTTCCGCCCATCACTCCTTCCTCGCGTGCTCGTCTTAGCCGCCTACATCCCCTCTTTCCTACCTCTCCTCTGTTTCATTCGTCTATACCCGCCCGCCCGCTCTCTAATTCGCTCGCGCCTACCTCGGGCTCGTCCTCTCCTCTCACAATCGCCCTCCTCAATTGACAGAAGATACATGTTTTTTTCTGTCTTCCAAAGCATGACTCTCTAAGTCTATACTTAAGTCTATAACTTTAAGAGTTAGGCTAATAAACGAAAATGTTGCGGGCTGGGCGCCCGTGGCTCATGCCTACTAATCTAGCACTCTGCGGAGGCAAAAGGCGGCAAATCAACACAAGGTACAGGAGTTCAAACCAGCCTGAGCAAGAGTGAGAGCCCCCTCTCTACTCCCACAAATACCCGCCAAGCATTCACTCTGGCCAATACACATGCCTCACTACGAACCAACTTGCCCGCCCTCGGTGCGCGATGCTCGCTCGTCCCAGCTACTCAGGAGCTGAGACAGAGGATTGTTGAGCAATCCTTCAAAACTTGAGTTGAAGTTGCTGCCTGATCTTCAGGCTGACCCACCTCACTCTAGCCCCCAGGCCACCGCAGTGAGACTCTGCCGTCAACCATAACAAAGCCAAAACACAAGAATCAGTTGCTTTACCCTTACCTTTTTCTTAGTGGGACGACCTTCTTTTCACCCCCCCCACAGTACCAAACCTGCAGGTTCGTACACTCAGCCATCAGCAATCAAACTGAAAAAACCGTCAATCCCTTTTCACGATGAGCTCCTCCGGGATCCTCACCCACCCATAAACTGCCTCCTTTCCTCTACACCTGCTTGAGTCTCTCTTAACCGACCAGCGGTTCCCTTACCCCCTACTGGGCCCACGTCAGTTAAGTCCTTTTCATTCTTCATACTCTTAGTCCTTTTCATTCCTCTTCACCTGTGCCCTAATTTTAATTCCTACTCGTTACAAACCGGCAGTTCTTAATCTTTCTCTCCCCACCTTATAGCCTTAATTGATTAGCATCCCTCTCTCTTTGCTCTCCGACTTGCGCTTCCATTCACGAATCCTTCCCTCTCCTTACTGCTTAGTTGAAGATGGGCGATATATATATTTAGTCTGTGTTTCGTGCCATAACTGATACCTTCTACAAAGAAGGGGTTTAATCATAATATGCTGCTTCATTGAAGAGCTTGTACTTCTCAGAATTACAATCTACCTTCTGCTCTGGCCACCTTTCTCTCGTATTATGATGCCGATGCGCTATATAAACTATATATATATGTGGGATGAGCAGCAAGATATATATGTGTTACATATATATGTAATCTTGACCATCCTGGGTTTTTGCCCCTTTCTCTTTGGACCCATGACCAAGTCCCTAAGAAGTGATCTCCAGCAGCTGGATAACTTTACG